GGTATCAATACAATGTTTACTTGTAGGATGAGCCTACTAGTGGAATGGATCCTGTTGCAAGGCGATTTCTATGGAATGCATTAATTCATGTYATGAAAGTTGGTCGGTCTATCGTCTTGACATCACACAGGTTTGTATCTTTACAGTGAGCATCACTTTCAGTGCGACAATATGTGTATCTTAAAATACTCAAGCTGCAGCCTAGCTAAAAATAATCTCACCATGACTCTCAAGCAGCCTAGCTAAAAATAATCTCACCATGACTCTCAAGCAGCCTAGCTAAAAATAATATCTCACCCTGACTCTCAAACGGCATATACTAAGTAAATTCTTTTTTTTGCTTTTATCTATTGAGCAAGATCATTTACTTTTGAAGGAAGAAAAGACAGTCGTGTGTACTTTGTGGAGTTGGTTTTATTTTCACAAAGATAGGCAGAATACCATGAAAATAGTGATAGGAAAAAAAGAATGATAACAGTTGTGTGTGCTTCTGGCAGCTTCTCGAGTTTACTGACCCGGCATCTCGCTTTAGTATTGCAGGGGCGACAGTGGGCGTATTTTATGAACTCATCAAGTACTCCCATTGACCAATCATTGCGCGCGTTATGTAAGAGTTATGTAGTACTGGTATCGTATTGACGACAGTTTATTGGTGTTTTTGTTAGCATGGAGGAGTGTGAAGCTTTGTGTACCCGTCTTGCCATCATGGTGAACGGTCAATTCAAGTGTATCGGTAGTACACAGCATCTAAAGAGCAGGTACCGACRTGCAAACATTCTTTAAAGTAATGAGATTCTCCAACATTCCTTACCAATCCCARCATGATTGACAGACTGGCTGCTGATTGCTATTGGTTTTCCTTTAGATTTGGTAATGGTTATACACTTATGATCAAAGTCAAAGGGAGCGACCAAACCACTAACTCGTCAGCTGCGGTATCACAAGTAACTCCTGTCGTGCCAGACACAGTCTACGTCAATCCAACTGCAGCAAATGGTCTTACASATGTCCCAGGGAACCCAGTGCACAATRCGACACCTGTTGATTATGTTCCTCCTCCATCAGATGGAGCTTACCCACAACAGCAGGTACCCCCCATTGGTACTGACGCTGCTGCTCTCTCGAAGGCAAAGTCTTTCATCGAGGAGACCTTCAAAGGAGCTGTTCTAATGGAATCACATAGTGTAAGTATGCAAACACCTTGCACAAAATAACAGGAGTTTTTCATTAAAATGCCTGAAAGGTAAGACTACCATTTCTGCACTATATTTTCGCCTAAATTTAGTTTACRTTCTCTTAGTTGATGTTATCTTGACTGGATAACAATAAACACTAACATTGCGTCTGTCTTGAGTTCGTTTTCAATGTAACAGCAAAGCAAGGTTTGCAAACGCATCATAGAGCGGATTTCGTATGAGTGGGACACCGTTACCGCACGGTTACCGCAGAGTTACCGGACCTGGCCTTCACAATTTTGGTGAACCAATGGGGSACTAGAATTTGGTTACAGTACGATTACGGTCACAGTACAGTACCGTCCGTTTCCYACTCATRCGAAACCCGCTCTATCAYCAAAATACAAGAATAAAAAATGGATSCCACATGTATTTGCGCTAATATTAGGACTTACGTTAGGAGTCGGTTTTCATGGTGTTAAGAGTGTTTTGCGCACTTGTGCTTAGCATTGTGCTTGGATTTGTGTCGTAGTAGAAAACTGGCTTTAGCAATTATCATAAATTGAATTGTTTTAGGGGATGTTGACGTATCACATAATCAATGAAGATCTGACTTGGTCCCAAATATTTGGTAATCTGGAGAGAAACCGTGAAATACTGGGAATAGTGGACTACAGTGTTAGTCAAACCACTCTTGATCAGGTCTGTAGTTTTGCGAAAAATCACGAAATATATCAATTATGTGTAAGGAATTGAAGCAGTAAAGTTATGATAATCTAAGTGATTATTAATAAATGRAATCAACTGGAATCGCAGTCATGACCTCTGTGATGTCGGTGCACTGCTCCACCAACTGAGCTGTGAAGCCAACTATGTTGCAATAACAATAATTTTCCCAGCTATAGTAATTYAGTACACGTATACAAACGGTGATAAACTCGTTTCTAGTAACACTAACACTTTCTTTTATTTAGGTGTTTATCAATTTCGCTAAAGAGCAGCACTCTGAAGAAAGAACAAAACTGAAACGAAAGTGTGGATGTCTACCTTGTTGTTGAACAAACACAGTCTGAAACGCAACTCAGTCTGCACATCCGCGATAAATATAATTGTTAAATATATCTCATATCTTTGCTGTACAACAAATATACATACACTGATATAATAATGATGATAATAATTACATTTACCAACTCACAATGAGGGCAGCAATGAATGGTCTGAAACACTTGTACAGGGCCGTAGCCAGGGTGAATGGACAACCGAGGCAAGCGACCGCCGATGCCGGGAGAAACTAGGGGGGTCTGGGGGCATTCTCCTCCTAGAAAATTTGAAATTCAGTTTCTCGGAAATGCAAGTTGCAGCGTTTTGTGGGCCTTTTGGTAACTAGTTATTGAACAGATTTAACCGGAATTCATCATGCAATATTTATGAAACAAAGAACTACACGTACAAAATTACGTACAAAAATAATATTATTTTTATATTTTTTTCACAAAATCAGTCGTACGAAATCGGCTATGAGAGGCTATAAGATAATATTAGTGATGAAAAACAAAAAGCATCGGTAAAATTTTAGCGAGACGAGTGCCTCTGTTGGCCTCTTACTAGTTACTAGCTACGGCCCTGCATGTTGTGGCCCTCAAACCATAGATGGATTAATTTACATCTATGAAAAACTGAATGGAATTAATCAATTMATGAAAATACATTGAATGTATAATAAATTTAATTGTTTAAAAACCTACCTTATACATAAATATACAAAAATGTGAATCAAAATGTTATAAAATGTCTTATAATTTCAAGCTATATAAGTGAAAGCTAGTAGGAGCTGTCTACACAAAGCCGGCGAGATGAGGTAGTGGGGGAATAGAAACACTTCAAATATATCGCCAACAGAGTGTTTGAATTCCGAAATTCAAAAGGAGACTGGGAACGAGTATTCAAATAGTCCACTTGTCCATCTCACCACATCATGAAAGACCACACTTTAATTAGTGTTCTTGCCAAGTTTGAGACTATTTTGTTGAATACTCACCTAGTAGGATTTTTTTCAAATTTGTAAAAAAAGACAGAATGTATGGTTTTTGGTTGGTTTTTGGGGACGCTGCTCAAGTGCTCCATGACCGTCCATACATTCTTTATAATTTTTTCGAGTTTTAAAGGCTTATATCCCAGTAAATATTAATCCGAATACGCTCAAACCCAGCAACTATACTATTTTTAGTATGCTCTTTCTTGCCCTGGAGTTTGTTTTTTGATTGCTTAAAACAGTATCGAGTTTGTGACTAGTCACCAGTCCCTTTTTGAACTTCGGAATGGGCAATTCCTCCCCCCCCCCCCCCCCCCATTACATTCATCGTCATCATATCATGCCTCTGTGGCCGTACCATCATTCTTCTTGCTAGTCCAGAACTGGACCCTCTTTTATCCTTGCGCGCGCGGAGTTGAAAACTATTATTTTGAATCAGCGTTCTCAACGGTCACGATAAAAGAGGGACCCACTCAATTTTCTCCCACTCAATTTTCTCAATTTTCTGTAGCGCGCGCTTTGGATTTTTATAGAATATTATCTATAGTAATTGAGAAAAGAGGGTCTAGTTCTGGACTATCTTCTTGCCTGCTGTTTGTCTATGTCAGCTTGTTCACAGTCTAGCCTGTGAGTCTCCAAACAGCATTTGCTTTTGATAGGAGTCATTTTTCATTGGTTGCTCTCCTTTGTTGTGATGTTTTTGTCCTAAAAAAATTGAATGGATATTCTACGTAAAGTTACTAGAAATAATACACTAAAAAGAAGTTAGCGCCTCCTACAAGACGCTGAAAATGCAAAAAGAAAAACACGAAGGAGTCTATCACCATGTACTAGTAACAGTTAGTACTATGAAGACAGTTAAAATATGAATATTCGTGAAACGCTTGAATACACACAAAGAAAGCGACAAGATTGAGTAGCAAAAAACTATTTCATTTTTTAGGTCAATTTTCTGCTTTATAGCATTATTAAAATGACAAAAATGAAAAAGAAGTTATGACAGTAATCAAATTACAATATACTGATCACAACTTCTTCCTTGTTTTTGTCTTTTTAATGCTCAAAAGCAAGAAACAAAATTTACTTGATTKGCATAATTTGCGACGGAAAAGCTTCGCAAATCCCCAGGCTGCAAATCCCCCAGGTCTTTCCGACGTCAGCATACCACTGACATTAGCCGTGACTCTATATATTTATATAGGGAATGAAGGTTTCTTTAAACCCATTTGTAATGTATACTGAGGCTAAATAAAATAATAGTAAAGCGTTTTTATTAGAAAATGTTATTTTTAACAAGTCATTGCTTGGGCTCCCTGTGCCCTATTCAATCAGAGCGTGTTCGCAGTTGTCAAAATGGCGGATAGAGTGAATATTAGTGAATTTTGCAAAAGAATTCCGAAAGTTGTGAGTATATTGCAATTTGAATACCGTCATAACTGATAWACAATCTTATTTTTAATGTTTTTATTAGGAACTTCACGCACATTTAAATGGTTCGGTGAGTTTAAAAACGTTGAATGATCTTCGGCTGCAAAAGATGAAGGATGGTCTTACAGATCAGGCTGTTCAGGAAAGTGATTTACGATGGCAAACGTGTCCTAAGTTCACTAAAGAAAACTTTAGCAAGTAAGTTACTGGTTCGTTGTAGTTGCATATTTGAATAAATGACAAATATAACTTCCTGTGTGTTCTACATAAAGTTTAAGTCCCAGTCCTGGCCTTGTTTCTACTCCTTCCAGGACTCGACTAATTTTAATTAGTTAAAACTACTGCATGAGCTTAAATTGGGCAAGAAATTTGGATGATTCATTAGAAATATCTATGTCCACTGTGACAAAATGGATGAAAATGATTCTGGCAATCCACAACACACACTGACCCTTCCATTCTTTATATAGCATGTGTCATTTCGCATAAGTTAAGTTTATGTATCTATTCTTCATGTGCAACCACATGACCAGGAATCACCTGAGAAATAAAGAACAAGGCTATCGCCGCCATGTTGGATGAATGAACAAGAGAAACTAATGAGGAATGCTTTGTGATTTTCATCCAACATGGTGGTGATAACACAACTTGCAAGCCATGAGTACCACTAGCCTGTAGGCTGCCTTGCAAATGTGTTGGGCAGAGCAAAATTAAATGTTTAAATAAATTAGTTTAATGCACAGGTATAGTATGTAGGAACTGGCAGCTAGAATGAGCAGTTCAACAAAATACAATCATAACAAAAGCTTAAGGGGGGGGGGGGTGTTTCGGCTGAAACCCCTGAACACCCCCAGCCTACGGGCTAATACCAAGTACCATATTTGTTATAGTTTACCATTAACTGTGTGTGGTGGGCGACTGCTGAATATTTGTGTTTTAAAACATTTACAGTGAACAGAAAATTCGACCAGGTAACAGATGTGGGCTAATTCTTAGTATATATTCAAACATTCAGAATGCATTCATAGATTTCTATGTTTAAGACTGACATGCTCCCTATAAAATATTCTACTAAGCTAAGTTATTCTGATTAAGAGTCAGTAGTTTTGAAAAATGTTATTATGCCTCCATTTCATTGACCAACCATGCCAAAGTGCCACAGGCTTAAACTGTAGACCTCTGAACTTCCTCTAAATGTTAGTCATTTATATGCTATTAGCTGTGCATTATTGTATTTCTTTTAGTTATGATTTAGTTTATTTTTCTTACTCAAATCTGTATTTTATATTTTTCATAATTTCCGCCGAGGACCCCCGCCCTTTGATATTAGGGAGTCCCCCCCCTGCCCCCCCCCCGGGGGACACTGATGAGGCAAATAGAAGCTGATGCCTAAAGGGTACATGGGAAATTACATAACGCTTAAACAAGTTAGAGTTAGATTGATATWAATTCAAAATTAGTCTTATTGTTTTAATTTTCAATATCTTAATTTATATATTTTTAGAGGTTTTGAAATATTCAATGCTATCCACCAACTTGTTGACAGCAAAGAAGCCCTAAAAAAGGTATATTGTGCTTTTTAACTCGAAGATGATGAAGTAATCAAAGAGTTATTAGAGGGGGACGAATCTGTCACTCACTCACTCACTCTCTTTCCTGTAAACTTGTAAACTTGTAAACTATTTCTTTTCTAGAAATTTATTTACTAATTTTCCGTTACTTGTTTCCCTGTGTTATATTTCATTGAATTTATTTATTTTTTCGCAAATGGAGAAATAAAAGAAGTATGGACTCATTTAGATCTACAAACCTGGGCCCATTGGGTCTGAAATCAAAGGCACTACCTAATAATAATAATAATAACGGCTAGACTTGGGCACTACCTAATAATAATAATAATAACTGCTAGACTTGTGTTTAACTGGCAGGCGCTTGCTGCTACTTGTCTAAAGTGTAACGAAAAAAAGCTACATTTATAAATCGTTTACTTAAAATTTGTTACATAATATTATAATTTGATTCATCATATCATTTCGTATTCGTCACACAATCAATCTTCGAGTTGTGTTGCCATTGGCGGTTTGATCATATATTGTGGGACCTAGGTTGAATTGTGTAAAATATAAAAAATGAGCAGTATTTTGTGAAAGATAAAAACTCAAGCACGAGGATTTTTGATCCTTGACAAAACATATGACAAGCTGACACTGATTTAAGCTCGAACATTAAAGATTTTTAAAAAATGTTTGAAAACTTAATGGGTAATTTATGATATAAATCTGGGCATCTGATCATGTACAAATGATTTTACAAAACTCAAATTTGTGTCTCTTGCAGTTAACAACTGATGTCATAAAAGAGTTTGCAGAAGATAATGTCAAATACCTCGAGTTGCGAACAACTCCAAAGTGCTATCCAGGTTAGCAATTTGAGTCATTTCTTTATCAAATTCATTAAATTTAATTTATAAGGTAAACACAACCTACAGAAAAGTCATTGCCGTGACGTTATCTTTATATGAGCAAGAGAATTGACCTGATTTGCATACGACTTTAACTTTGATTTTCTAATAATCTTCGATTTTTATTAAATAAATAATATTTTATCTGAAGTTTTTAGCAAAATGTGCTTAATCTTATGTCGGAATTTGATAAGCAATATAAAGTATTCGCATCTGACTTTTATGGGCTCTAAAACTGCTGGCTTGCAGCTCGTAGTTTTATATGCCATTATGGTCAGAAAACACAGGAGGCAATTTTAAGTATAGAATTATAAATAAAAGAAATGGTATGTTTTTGTTTGTATTGACATTTGTATTAAATTCACTCTTGCCTCCTCTTATCATTTCTTTTCTTGTTTAATTTATGTTGTGCCTTTAATTTATGTTGTGCCTTTTTTTCTAGTGGGTTGATATTTTGTGGTCCGTTTGTGTTTGTGTTTATGTATGTGAAATTGCTTGGAAAAGGGATCAAAAGAAATAGAAACTACATAGTTTGGAAATAAATGACTAACTACAGCAGGCAGAAGAATAACATGTGACGTGTCATAWCAGGCAAACCAGTCGTTAGTCCTGTGTCAAACATGAAATCTCAGGTGCACCAAATTCAATAAGAAACAGATGGATAACTAACTATGAAACAATGTTCACACGTTTTATAAATTCAATTTACAGGAGTGACGAAACTGTGCTATTTAAAATCAGTTGTATCTGCAATTAAAGATGCTGAGAAGGCTTTTCCKGAAATAATTGTCAGGTAGAAATACATAACAAATACCTTATCTATATCATTATTGATGCTTCATGGGTTTTAAAAGTGCRTGCAATTTCACTGGTGAAATAAGAAGTGATTGAAAGGGAAGCAGAATGGGAAATTTTCAGTTGTTATTCTGCTTCCTTTATCTCCTCCTTCTCATTTTTCAAGTTATTTTCTTCTTTTTGTTCGCTATTTTTAACAAGTCTTGTCTTACTTCATTAGTCGTGTAATTTTACAAAAATAATGTAGGAATATACAAACGCTGATATTGCTAGTATGGGAATCCTGTCCCACCTACTTTACTCGAATAACATTTTATCGAGATATCTTCCTTTCTCGGGTTTAGTCCTGACGATGAACTGATAAGTTTGAAAACGCTTGACATATAACAGATATAACTTTTCCTTAATTATTTATCTATATTTTCTTTTTAAATTGGCGATTGTCATGATACTTTATCGTAATAGGTTTGTTGTTTTTTTTAATGCCATCCATGCCATCCATATGTAATACAAGGAAGCTATAATGAAAGCTAAAATGAACTTTTTTGACCTCTGAAGCCCGACAAAAGGGGAGGCTGCGAAGGAGACTATAATGAACTATGACCTATATTGGTTCTTCAAGGTCGAGAGGCTGTCTAATTCATGCATCTAAGATAGTCGATGATAAATCAAGTTTTACTTATCTGATATGCATCTTGAATGTTCATAGGCACTGAAAAGTCCTTGATTTTACGAAATTCATTCAAGTGATAGTTACGCAACCGGTTGTTGCTGAATTTAATACCGCTGTCCTTGTTGTACCAGCCACTGCTGTCTCGCTAGGAACATTATTCATTAACGCGATTAGTGTCACAGGCTCTCGACCTTGAAGAACCAATATTATAGGTCATAATTTCAGCTCTAGCGCCCTTGGTCGAAACCCCACGAAAATTTGCATTGGTGTGTACATTACCTTGTACTTGAAAGATATTGAAATCATTTTCAAATTAATGGTGGTTCTTTGTAGTTCTTTTCTTACTTTTGCTTTTGTGAAAGATATTGAAATCATTTTCAAATTAATGGTGGTTCTTTGTAGTTCTTTGAAAAAGTTAGTCAAACGGTCGTTCAAAAATTGTTGTTGTCCATATAATCTTCCCACTCACCCCCAAAATGCCTTTTGCTTTATTGTTCAATGCAAAATCGCGTTTTGGGCGATTGTGACGATCTGGACAAGACTTATTATGTCTGACTTGTATCGACCACCACATTTTTAGGCTGTTGGTGTCTATTGACAGAAAAAGAGGTCCAGAAGAAGCAATGGAGAATGTGCAGCTTGCATATGAGCTCAGTGCTGAGGGTATAGTGTGTGGAGTTGACCTTAGTGGAGATCCAAGTGTAAGTGAAATGTCATTTGCTCTGTAAATTATAGGATGAGCCGACGGATTCCTATAGGAGAAATATAGTCAGCTGTAAGTCACATGTGGTTGCCAGCGAGAAATTTAGGGGAAAAAAGCTCTGGCCAACCAATGAATACTTTCTTAGAATTTTTGCCAGGAAAATAAAAATTTCCTATTAAACTAAAGAATATATAAGCCGTTTTTGACAATAAATACGTTATACAAAATTATTTTAAAGAAGGAAGGGCGTCACATTTGCTTGTGAGATTGTCAACAATGTAACTCAAAATACCTTTCCCAGAAAAAATTCGTACAAGAACAGTTATTTAGAAGAACAGACCATGTCGTCTTCTCCTGAAATTAGGAGAGCGTGAATAGACCTAATTGGCTAACGGCGCAATGTACGTTGCCACCCAATTCAAATCCTGTGGGAAAAAGAACTTTTGTTTATAAGAATTCAACTCTGAAATGAAAATGTGTACAACGAATATTGAAACTCCCGGGTGGTTTGAATTGGGTGGAAACGTCTATAGCAACGACTCTAAATAGTAGAGAATAGTTTGTCCTACTTCCARTTTCCAAAAAAAAGCAAACAAACAATACAAAACAAAGCAACCAATCAAGATGTTTTTCACTTTGTATAGTCAAACCCTGCTGGTCTATTTGTGCCTGCATTAATGAAAGCCAAAGAATATGGTTTGAAATTATCAGTGCATTTARCTGAGGTACGTATCGACACTCATGGCAACTATTCTCTTACAGTTGTTTGCATACTGCAATCAGACAAAAGGGACAAGATGTGCAATTAGCATTACTGTAGAAGGTCGTTGATCAAAACCCGGCTTTTGCATTATAGCTACTTTTTAAAAAACCAACAGGTGGGAAGAACAATAGTCTTCTAATTGCGTGTAATGTTTTTTTGCATAAATTGATAACATATCACAACTAGCCACATCCTTTTTCCATTGTTAGATGTAGATTTTGAATTCACAACTAACATTCTCTTATAATTAATGACTAACAGTAGGGGTAGGGAGGGGTAGGGTGCTTTTGCGTGTAACCTGGAGTTTTCGTCTTATTAGTAATACAGCGTACGGCTTGTATTTAGTCCTGTGTGGTAATTGTTAGTAATACAGCGTACGGCTTGTATTTAGTCCTGTGTGGTAATTGTTAGTAATACAGCGTACGGCTTGTATTTAGTCCTGTGTGGTAATTGTTAGTAATACAGCGTACGGCTTGTATTTAGTCCTGTGTGGTAATTGTTCAAGTTACGTCATCAGGTCCCTGATGTTGAGGATGCCAGCATTCTTTTAGATATATTACCCGATAGAATAGGCCATGGAACATACCTACTTCCAAACAACGGGGGATCTCAACAGCTCACTAAAAAAGTAAAAGAAAACAACATCCCTTTAGGTAATTATATTGGTAATGGGTAGATGCCCTAAGCGTCCTTGATTGTATGCAGCGTGTTGCTCCTGTTGAACAGGCCCCTGGTATCTTTTTCTAATTATATTGGTAATGAGTAAACGCCCTAAGCATCATGTCCTTGATTATATGCAGCGTGTTGCCCCTGTTGAACAGACCCCTGGTATCTTTTTCTTCCTTTCCTTGGGGAACACTGACAAAACAAAAGAAATCAAACCGGTCAACCGGACCAACCCGATTGATATTTGTATTTGTATCCACCAAACTATGGCCTATTACAGATCCAGCATTCTGATCTGCTACTGAACTATGGCCTATTCATGATATACCATTGTTAAATCGAATAACGGAAAATAGTCGAAAAAATGTCACGAAAAATTGTTCTTTATGGACTTTTTTCAATTTACTCTGTAGTTGTAATTGGAGTTGTATATTTTCTAGAAACAGCAAAAAACAACACATGACCAAGATGATTGTAATGGYAATGAATAACCAATCTTTCTATGTCTAATATAATTTCATTTTATCCACTGAAGAGCTTTGTTTGACGTCCAATGTACACTGTTCAGTTGTTCCTTCATACCATGAGCATCATATCTGTCACTGGTTTAAGAACGACCACCCATTCACTTTAGCTGTAAGTATGATCAACATTTAGTTATACCCTATTATGGTGGGATTGTCTACCAACACTAGCTGTACCACTTCTTTTAATGAAAAATAAAATGAGCTCAGCCGAAATCTATTCGAAAAGTTTGATCTATTACCAAAACCCGGACACGATTTTTTTTTTCAAATAGGTGTATGTGGGTATAACGAGATCTTTTTAGGATAATGTTGCTAATATTAGGTTATACATTGAACCTCGCAAGCTCTGAAAGCCATTCCTATTTTTGTGGCTAAAATAATATTAAGTACGGCATTTGAATGAAATGTCGATTACTGTAAATCCCATTCCTCTCTCGGTTAATGTGTTTTCCAATATATGTCGGATAACACATTATTACAATTAACACATGCGAGATGCGACGTGTAAATCATTTGCCGAACCATTGCCGTCTGTTTCAGTCACTGATCAGTCGCATTTGGATAATTGAATTATTCACCGCACCTCACATGCATTTAATTTCGTAAAATGTAATCGGCACATGTGAAATTCGGTCTATAAACTGAGACTTGGACGGAGTCTCAATTTCTAGCAATGCGGCTTCTTGAGAGCATCATCGTTAAATCAATTTTTAAATGTTAAGAAAACTGTTGCATTTTTGACGTAAAATAGCTTACATTTCACAGTTCACACGCGATGGTAAGTGACCTCTATCTTGGAACAAATTATATTTTGCAGACAGATGACAAAGGAGTTTTTTCGACAACTTTATCACAAGARTATGAAATTATGATGACAGTGCTGGGACTATCGCCTATTCAAGTATGGAATATTTCCTACAAGTCCATAGACTATATATTTGCTGACAGTTCTGTCAAGGAACGATTGGTTCGTATTTGGAAAAGTCAACAAGTACATGAACCGTTAACAACCTGAGCCATTTACCATATGCAACTGATGTCCCAGCTAATTTATCCTTGACTGACGGGAAAACATATAAGCAGCGAGCATTAGATATTCCAAAGGCAAATGAGAATGTTAACGTGGAGTTTGCATTGATGTATGGTTTTCAACTCGAAGATTGCGAAGCAATCGAAGAGTTATTGGTGAAGTGGGACGAATCTGTCACTCACTAAGTCACTCATTCACTCTCAGTCACTCACTTTCCTTTAAACTTGAGCCTGCGTTACTTGTGTTCAGAATTATTCAATTATTCTAATTGTTTTCTTGTAATTTATTCACTAATTTCCCGGGTTACCTATCAACTCATATTAACTCATCTGGGAGTTGAACCTGGGACCCTAACGTCGGAAATCCAAGTCACTACTACTCGGCTACGCGTGATAATGTCACACAATTGTGGCAAGACTTGTCTTTTAATAATAAGATTTTAACGATTAAGTAAGTAATCGTTAAGTAATTATAATTTGATTCATCGGTATCGTTCCGTATTCGTCTACGCAATCAATCTTCGAGCTGTGTTGCCATTGGAAGCTTGATCTTTACTTTTTTCTGATAGACGTGCCCATGCCCCACCTATTTTCAAAATGTTAGGTATTCTACAATTTCACGACTTAGTCTATGTACAGAAAGCAGTTTTCATGTATGACTATACCAATAATCTCTTGCCTTCATCTTTCATGAACTATTTTAAGAAAGTATCTGAGATCCATTCCTATAACACTCGACTGGCATCAAACAATTTTCACACACCTTCTGTTGGCACAAACTACGGTAAATTTTCACTAAAGTTCTCTGGACCAGGAGTTTGGAATTCAATCCATAATGATATTAAAGTATTACCTAGGATATCATTTAAAACACAAATTAAATCGGATTTGATAATGACTTATATTTGATTTTTTTTCTTTTATTATTTTTCTTTTTTTTCTTTTTTTGCGGTATATGTGTATTTTATGTAATTGTTTGCATATGTATTGTACGTAGGTCGCCTACACAGTTGTTGTGATAGTCTTTAATATTTGATTTTGGGAGCTGGCTTCGAAAACTTTTAGTTACTTCAGCTCTTCAGCATTATTTATAAATTTTTCTATTCATTTTAAATACTATAGACCTCGTTGATATTTAATAATTATATATTTATTGTAATTGTATCTTATCCAATTTAACAAATTGTAAAACTGTTTTGCAAAATAAATTGAACCTTGAACCTTGATCATTTCTGCCTCAGCGAAGAGCGCCAATAGCCGACTTGCGAATTTCGCCTCAGTAGTCAAACACAAAAGAATCAAAACGAGTCGCCGTGCGTAAAGCTCAGTCAATTGTGAAAAACTATTGTCTTTTCACGAATGACTGAGCTTTATGCACGGCGCCTCGTCTTGATTCCTTTGTGTGTGACTACTGAGGAAAAATTCGCAAGTCGGCTATTAAAGTCGGGTTCACACTGGCCATTTTTGCGGTCATTTTGATCCTGGTGAATAGCTAATGTCCAGCTAATGTTCTAGCTGGAAAAGCGATCTTATGACTTGAAGTTGGTATGTGTGGAAACGAAATTTATCATTCTAAGAGGCTGTGAGATCGAAATTTGCTCGAGTTGGGACTGGATTTCAGGTGGGATAATTGGTATTGTTTAGATCAGGTGATCGATTTCGAAGTAACCTGAAACTTCGAATGCATGTGTAATAAATTAAGCACAACATACTGTGTGAGTTTSACTGCATTTTATTGAGATTTCCACCTTTTATTACATTTTCTTTTTTCTCTATAAAGGCCGATTTAGACGGTACAACTTTTGTCTACAACTATCGCATGCGACCTGCGTAAGTCATTCTTACAACATGGCTACAACTGTCGTATGGCTATTAACCAATTGTTTRAAATCCCTACGACAGTTGTAGCTATGTYGTAAGGATGACTTACGCAGGTTGCATGYGATGGTTGTAGACAAAAGTTGTACTGTCTAAATCGGMCTTAAGACCTTCACAGAAAAGTCGACTAKTGCTGAGCTTGGSCTACCTGTGAAGAAATAATGCCCGATCCTCACAAGGAAGTTATAATCATTAATTATAGTACACTGAAGTATATCTCGCGGGTTAATGAAAAACACTCTACAAACTAGTATAGTAKAAGTAAATTTCGCGCTTTTATTAAAAGCACCTGACTGTACTAACTTTGAATTCATATCACTTGGAAAAATCCATGATCAATGAAAGCCATTCTGGTGACTTCGTTCGCAACTCTCTGAGAAGCAATAACAAATGGGAGCTATTCTATYCCAATAAATTTTTCACATCTTAAAACGAATAGAAGGCAGGGTATATTGAAAATAATAATTCATGGGACACCAATTAATTTTCGACTGGATGCTTTAACACTTTTTCATTGCTATGGTGCTCCGCCCTTTCGCACCTTCAAGACATACGGGCCGAGTTTCCACCATCGCAATTGTCCAAAACGAGTTTTGCCATTGTTCACGTTTTCTCGAGTGATTAAACGTCAATGGAAAACCGCGTTTTGGGGGATTGGGACGATTTGGCGATTAAATGGACASTAGGGACTAGGTAAACAGCATAAACAGTATCTGACAATGCAAGCAAATGAGAAACAAGCAGGAGTAATCATGACACCATCCATATTAAGATATTAAAATCATTACTAATAATTAATAATCATTGATATATAGATACGGAAAACAGAATAAACATGTAAAACCAAGTAACATTTTCAAATGCTAGAATAAATCAAATCTGAAATTCCTAWACTCGCTTGTTAGACAGCCAGTAGGATATTACACAAGTTTTTTAGCAGCACGTTACGTATTTTATAAACTAGACGTACGTTGTGCTTCGTTATCGGGTGTATAATCATATTAATATGCACATTGCATGGTTATACTTACCACACGGTCCTTTATAGCTATTGAAAGAAACAATCATAATTAGACATWAAAGAAAAGTTACCAACGAAGCCCATCAGTTTACCTCCGATAGATGCAACTTCAACAATCCTTCCTAACTGTGCTTTCATCGCATCAGCTGACGTTACAGTGAAGACTGATTTATCATGTGGCATTGAAACAATGGTTCGTAGTGCTTTGTAATTAGGTGTATCACCTAGAGTCACAGCAAACACATCGGCCAGATTTGAACGAACTCTAGACCCATATAAGGCAGCTAAATAGTTGTGTTTGACCTGTCCTGTTCCAATCATTAGCACAGTCTGTAAAAAATGAATTCCCTCGTAAAGAAAGAAAACTCAATAA